AGAAGCATTAGAAACTACTTAGAAAACAGTCAATGACACATACAATTTTACTAGATGGCATCAACTTGTACCTAGCTCTGACTGCTACACACCTTAAGTTAGCACCATTGAATCTGCAGTAAGATCCACAAAGGGGCTGTTACCTGCAAGAGTGAGACTGCATTTTAACACTTCTAAACATACTATTATATGTAAGACTTTTCTTGGAAGTCTCTCAGCGAACACCAGAAACTAGCTCAGAAAATGAGCCAAGCTTTCAGACTTTAAGCTTATCCCTGCTACTTAGATCAATATCACCATAATAAAGCAGAGCAGGGAAGCTTGCACTCATGTGGAAAGAAACCCTCACTAATACACTTCATGAGCACTAAGCTTCACACACTACTTCCCATAAGCATTAAAATAATGGTGTGCTTTGTGAGCCCTACAGTTTTTAACAATAAAGAGTCTCAATAGCTGACTAAATAGCTATTCTGGGAAAGATTTAAGAATGTTAAACATTCTGTGTCATTTAATTAGAATTGAAAAGTTCCCATATTATCTACCCTGAAAACATACACTACCCTGCTTTAACAGTCTTTCAGGAGGCTATTTTCAACCGTAACAAGGGAATGGATCACAGCTAGACCTCACACATACTGGATGAGCTACAACTCTGATGCAAAGTGAGCTGTTTGACCACCAACTAAGGTTCATGAAGTCACCAAACACTTCCTTAACAAGTGCCAAATGCAGATCTGAAATTCCAGGTATAAACATGTAGGTAAAATACAGCCATCACTGTGGGCTCCTTATACATACAGTAATCACTTTTTCTCTTTTTAGTAATTCAGACACTTTAACAGTTACCTAAACTAGAAACCGTAACACTACCACAATCTATCCCCTAAAGTGTTATTACTAATTTTTATTTGAAAAGGAACACCTGCAGCAATAAACTCATAAGCATTCATATCTGTCTTGAGAACAGTAGTTTTCCAAAACTGCTATGAAAGAGTCTACTATATGAACTGCACTGTTCAAACCTTACATCCAACTAGAGCTTTTGGGGATTTATAAAACTACCTTCAGAAAGGAACGTGCAGCATTTGTACACCTGGCATAGACTCTGCTATTCATTAGAGAAGTTTTTACAAATACCAGGGGGGTTTCTGTCCCCACACTGATCATTCGTACACATATACACAAACATATGAGTCAAAGTTTAAAAATATCAAAAATGCAATTTTGCTATGCATATTATTCATGATAAAGGCAACATGAGCTTAGAAGTATACTGACCAGTCAAAACTAACCGTAGTTTTACAGTCCTCATTCATTTTGTTACATCAGTGCAGACTTCTAGAGAACATTCTTTTTTCATGGTTATGACCTTAAGCTCACAAGCAATTTTTAAGAAAGTTTCCTTTTTTTAACTGTTCATGCTTAAAATTTAACATCTCAGTTTACAAGTTCAACTTTCAAGGGGCCTCCTTGTAAGTCCAGAACGTATTTGTACTGTAAAGAAGTGATTCTATATTAAGAATATGCAACAAGGTCTGCTGCAGTTAGAATCCGAAGCACAGTAGCAGAGACGGAGCTAGAGGAAGCTAGAGACAGACTGGAGGAAAATTTTTAAAGTTACTATTCCTTATTAAGGGCCATGAATATGAAGTTATGGATAGGAGTATTATTATTATTATAGGACTATATTCAAACAGCCAGGCTCTTAATTAATTAACTGTACAGTGGGTTAATGTCCTCCTTTTTTCACCTTGAGATAGCTTATTTGGAAACGCACCTTTACAGCCACATGTTCCTGGTGTTTCTAGCATAAAGATTTTATAGAACTACTTCATCTTCCAAGGCTTGCTAGCAAACCTTGCAGAAGATATGCCAGATAGCAAATCAGAATATGCCATTCCTCATCACATCATGTGAGAACATGGATGAAATAAAAATAATATTAATTAAAAAAACACCCAAAACAAAAAAAACACACCACTCCCCCCCGAAAAAACCCAAAACCTACGCATTGAAGTCAAGTGCATTACTGACATACATTGACTGGCCAACAAATCATAGAATCATTTTGGTTGGAAAAGACCCTTAAGATCATTGAGCCCAACTGTAAACCTAACACTGCCAAGTCCACCACTAAACCATGTCCCTAAGCGCCACATCTACACATCTTTTAAATACCTCCAGGGACGGTGACTCAACCACTTCCCTGGGCAGCCTGTTCCAACGCTTGACAACCCTTTTGGTGAAGAAATATTTCCTAATATCCAATCTAAACCTTCCCCGGCACAACTTGAGGCCATTTCCTCTCGTCCTGTCACTTGTTACTTGGGAAAAGAGACCAACACCCACCTCACCTACAACCTCCTTTCAGGTAGTTATAGAGCAATAAGGTCTCCCCCCAGCCTCCTTTTCTCCAGGCTAAACAACCCCAGTTCATGTTTTCCTGAAAGTGTACTGCTAATATTGAGGAAACAAATCTAGTTAAATATATCCTAAGTACACTCTGTGTTTCACTGAGCGCTAACTTAAAACATTGAGAATGGTTAGGTGTCCCACACACAGATTATACTACTCCTGTTTATTTCTCCACAGACTCCTTATAGCAGGACAATCTACATGAGAGACCACAAAAGAACATCTTTGCCATACCACCTTGCAGAGACACAGGAGTTCAGTTTTGCCTCTTCCTTTCCACAGCCCAACCACCCCCAAGAGCAGCAGTTTGTGGTCTGGAGCCACCAATCCAGGCAGCATATGATGCTGTCAGGCAGTTCTGACTACCTGAGCTGTCAGGCACTAGACACCTTGTAGATGACAGCTCTGCCCACCTGCACACTGACCAACCCCTGCAAGCAAGGCGGCAAAATGACAGGCAGTAACAAACACCACAAACATAACAAGGAGCAAACAGTCCTTGAGAAGAGATGTGGAATGAATAAAGTACAACTACCCCAGACAATTCTGTTCCAATGCAGGTACAGAACAAAAGCTGATCAACTGTAAATATTTACCACCTCTCTCCATCAGATGCTATAAAGTAACTGCTTCAGTGCTAATTAGATGTTGAGCAGCAGTGAACGGTCTCCTTGAGAAGCACCTGAAACCTGCAGCTGATCAGCACGACTACTTGTTCTGTGGTAAAATACTTTGAAAGGTACAGATAGCACGAGTGAAGTAGAGGTGTGGATATGGAACTGGGGCTTGTGGAGGTTAGAGCGATGAGGACACTGTAGTAGGAAGTTTAGAATCATGGGGTTCTGGTTTCAGTAAATAGTGATCAGGAGTTTGGTAGAAGGCAAATACCCATGGGATGAAGCTGACCTACCTATTAGACTTGTGCATACACCACTGCCGTACAGAATTTCAACACAGCGTATGCCATTCCTCCACATAATTTATCTCCCTCACTACTCAGAGAGCACTGTATCACCGGGTAAGTGCACTGCATACATAATTTCAGACCTTTATATACGGTCTCTGCCTGTACTGCTGGCAACTTATTACAAGACAAAAATACATAAATCTTGCTATCATTGTGAAAACTTTTCTCAAAGATACTTGATTAGTAACATCTTTCTGACTTGCCATGTCAGAAAGGCTTCAAAAAGAAAAAAAGAAGAAAAAAACAGGAGGGGGGGGTGCAGCACATTTTACAGCAACGTTTAAGTTCTGAAAATAAACTATCAAGGATTTACCAGTTTAAATCAACAGAAAGATACCCTTTTCACCATTCGAAGACCTTAAGGTTCTGAAAAATGCAACAGACAAGAAGTTTATCAGAAATATTTTCATCATAAGAAGTTATATTACACACCAACTGAGGAAAGGGTGTCCGATTTTTCATTAGTGCTACGGTATGAAATTAACTAACATCTCACCGCTGCAGTCTAACACACAATACAGAATAGTTACTAACAAAGCAGTAAAAGCATTTCCTTTCCCAGTTAGTAAACGTGAGCTCAGACTACCACCTCTTCCTCCAGGGGCTGGGGAGGGCGAAAGAACCATCCCCACTTCCCCAGCGAAGAGGTTTGGGGGTTTTTTGTCCCGTCTGTATTTCTACTTCTTTCGGCCCTACTGTCACGCCCGATAAAAAGGAATTCACAGAAGTGGCTGCAAGTCACCGCCCGTGGGCGCGACACACGGGCGCGACACACCCCCGCCGCCGCCTCC